TGCTATATTGCTTCATAAACTATTAAAGCTCGAGCGGAACTTATAAATCTGAGTATAAAACGCGTTCTGAACTAAATCATCATTTTACTCTCTGTAGCATTCAATAAAATAAAACTGCACATAAACTTCATAACAATTTGACCTATTTTAGACATATCAGACATCTCTAGCTTGGAAAGAATATTTTTTAAACCGAATACAAGTTTTTTTAAATAAATTTTTAATTATTATTTTTTTTTTATAGAAGGAATTGTAGTTAGTTTATTTTAAAATTATTAACAAGGTTTAGACTAGTTACGTGTCGATTGTAACGGTATCGTGATCAGTACTGACATCGACTTGGAAAGGTGAATACTTCATTCTCCATTCATATTTAGTTAAAATACGAACCTAAGTGGGACAATATGAAAGATAAATAAACTGTGGTTGAGAACAAAGCATCTTCTTTGCAATCAATTGTTTGTATAGGTTTTGCGCACAGTAATGTTACTTGACTTTTCAATAATTAAAACTAAATAGTTCTACAAAACCCCATATATTTCTTAAAATATAGAAAAATTATAATGAAAATAAAAGAAAGATTGTTTTTCAAGAAAAATAAAGCAATTATATTTTGAAATTAGATTTAAATTGACTGTATATGAGAATGCATATTTAATTGAACGTTGACCGTGGAAGAAATAAAATCCCGTTCATCTAAAGTTATTTTTATTCCTCCAACCAATGACAGCTCAAAAAAGGCAAAACCTGCACCAAAAATTGCCAAACTTTGACGAAAGATATTGTGTGAGAACTTGTCACTATTTCTCACTTTTTAGTTATTATATAACTTTATTTTAACTTTATTGTATTATGTATTTATCATAGGCTAACAGCTGAAACCACATATCTTATTTTTTTCTTTTATTACATTTTAGATTTTGTTGTGTTTTGATTTGTTGTATTTTGCATTTAGGATCATGACTTGACTGCTATACAGTGGATAGCCTATACTTGAATGTTCTCTGAAGTGTATTCCAACTTAGGTTGGAGTTTGTGTATTGTTAGTTGTACAATATGTTAAGTTACAATGTTACAATGTGTTAAGTTTTTTCTCATTTGTGTACGAGATGAGTTTTCAGATGCTGAAACGTTGGGTAGAGTGTTTTACATGTGTGATGAAAAGTGTCTGTAATAACCCTTTAAGCAACATTAGCCTACCATCATGGTTGTATTTACATAAACATGGCATAATATTTAAAACTAATGTGATAGCTATTCCTAATCACTTTAGTATTGCAATATTAGTTGGTAAAAGTATAATCCAATATACGCCCAAACAAGCTAATTAAACACGAAGAAAAGAGTGGAGATCTAGCTTTTCATATTTAAGTTATATTGATCTTTGTTTTCCTAAGACAAACCGTAAAACCCATTAAATATAAATGAATACTATTTTCTGTAAAAGACGAAAATTGTAAAAAGGAGTTAACAAAATTACATACAAATGCTTCGACTATAGTGCAAAGGAGTTGGTATACATTTACATTTGTTTATTGTTTTTTTTTTTTTTTTACTAAGTTTAGGAGAAAAATAAATAACACATGTGTGACCAACTTTGCAATACTGGTTTGATTAACAAACGTTAAAATTGCACTCCCAAACAATTTACCCGTATTTATTTGTTTTTAGAATTTTCAATTGTTTCTACGTTGATAAAACTATAGGTATGACATTAATAAATCCATGTATCATAACTAGGGATAAGTTTATAATGTTACCTAAAATTACCTAACAAAATTATATTTTATATTACATTGTCCATAAGTGAGATTTAATTTTGTAACGTTTTCCTTATGACGTATAATAAAACATAACTAAAATATTGGTGATATCTTTGTCTGAAATTAATTCAATTAAATGTTTTGTCAAAACAGCTAACTATTTTTTCAAGAAATCTAACAAAGTTAATCATTCAATAACACCTTTTTGAAGACAAGCAAAACTCAACAGGGACAATAGTTTCGTTTTAACAAATATTATCTCCGTGGTGAAATTATTCAGTTACGTAATCTACTTTTTAACTGATGAACTATCAACCAACAAAGCCCGTATATTATTCTGAATGTGCGTTGCCTAGACAATTGACGTTCCTCAAGTGAGAAAATGTCAGATAATAGTTCTGTAAAAATATTAGTTTTATAGTATTATGTAACGTTATCAGCTAAATTATACGACTTTTAATTTTAGACAAATTTTTGAGTATAGTCTAAGCCAAAACTAGAATCACTATATTTTTGTACTCATACCTATACAAAATAGATGTGTATTATCAAACCTACTTATCTTTTAAAACAACTTAAGTAAGACAACAATTTAAATTAAACCATAAAAACTTGAAGTTTTTAACGTAACTTATCTTATTTACTAACTTGAAGTATAGGCACATATCCAAATTCTTAAATTTCTTGAACAAGAGTGACAGTTTATTTAGTGGAAAATAGATAAATTTATACTCATTACGGGTCATGTAGGCATTAAATGATAATTTTTTTTTTGAAGAAAAAGTGATATAATAACGATAATGTTTGTATTTCACACCTTAATTACTCTCCCAAGGAATCTACAATTTAATCGTGGAATTAGTAAATTTGCTGGGCAGTAAAATCGATTCTTGGTGACCTGCCAAATCGTAATGATTAATCCTGTTATTGCTTTCTCATTAGTTGTATGGATTGAAAAAAAACTATAGAATAATTTTTGTAATACTTTTTATTTAAATTACGCTAAAAGTTAATTTTACGTGTCATGGTTTGAATATTAAACAGCATTTAAATAGCGAAACACTTTCGCTTGGAGCACTGTTGTTGGGGAGCGACTGTAGCTGACAGTGAGCTAAGGCAGTGAGTGTTGGTGTGTAGTGAGGGTTGGCTTGGAGACCTCCCTCGATGCGTAGGCAGGTTCCAGACAACAAAGGATGACCCTGAACCTTCGCGAAGGCGGGAGAATGGGGTGGGGGCATAGTGGTGAGGCGTTGGGCGGTGGGGGTGTCGAGGTGTGAGTGTGGGGGGGGGTGTTGGGGCGGGTGGGGGTAGCATGAGTAAGCGGGAGGATCGTGAGTGAGCGGGAGGAGCAAGGGTTGGCTTGGATACCTCCCACATAACTCGTGGTTTACATTTAACACTCTATTATATGTTGTAACCTTAGCAGAATATGTTAACGTAATAATGTTTCAGTCTGTTCTATTCTTAGTTTAAAACGAAACTAACTAAATGTAAGTAGCATCTTCTCTCTTGATAGTCCGCAAAGTAAAATAAACTAAACTATTGGACTTGAAAAAATACACTTTTCTTACAATTTTGTGTCATATGTATGCTATTTTCATAGTGTACGTCTATTACTTCACTATTCCCACCACTTTTTCAGTTTGGGTTGATCTTTCAAACAGTCTGGTGCGTAAAACAGTTAAAATATTTGAAATATGTGAAATACTGCTCTCTGATTGGTCAAAATAAGCTAACATCCTATTGGTGGTAAATAAGTGTGCGCTATGCGGAGAACAAAGAATACAAGGGAGGAGCGGGGGGGGGGGCGCTTGGAGCGCAGGTGTTGAGGAGCAGCTGCGGCTGACAGTGAGTGATGGTGTAGGGAGGGTTGGCTTGGAGACCTCCCACGATGCGTAGGGTGGTTCCAGACAACAAAGGATGACCTTGAACCTGCCCGATGGTGGTAGGGGTTAGCGACGGGGGTGGGGGTGACGATGTGGGTGGCGTCGGGCGTGGAGGTGGCGTCGGGGTGGGGGTGGGGCGGTGTCGGGGGTGGGGGCGGCGTCGTGTGACGTCAGCCGCTCACTGCCGCTCAAGCCGCTCACTGTCGCAGGGGCGGCTAAAAACCCCTACTCGGGTACTCTGCTAGTTGATTAATAATAAAGTAAACTAAATTAATTATGTTAGGAATTATGTCGTTTTTGACTCCTTACATTTTCACGGAAATGGTTTTAATTTTAAAGTAACCTTCATCAAAATAAAGTCATCAATTATGAAACCTAGTAAATGAAGGTTCTAATCGTTAAATCATAGTTACGTTCAATTTGTTCTAGATGTGTTCTTACCGTCGGTGGTCTCTAGATTTAACTATTAACATGAGGACGATAATCGTCTACAGCTGATCGACAAAATGGAGGGCAATAAAGAGTGCATTACATACAGTTCAGGGAATAAAACCATGTAGCTTAGTTATGTTCAAGTTCACGGTCAATGAAAAACTGTAAAACATTACATTACCCTTATAAAACGAACTAAACTATTATAGTTTTTTTTTCGATTGCGTACTGAACCCTTATGTGATCCTATTAAAACTATGCAACCTTTCTTCTTTATGAACGTGGGAATAATAATGTACAGAACTCAAATAGAGATAGGAATGCCATACGACAAACTAGTTGCCAAGACAAGCTACGAAATTTCTATACGGTATGAAAACACAGGATGAGTAAATTTAGTGTTTTGCTGATCCAATTGTTTCTCCATCTAAAATCATATTACAATAGGCACTGGCTGGGTATAGTAGCTGAGTGGTTTTAGCGATCGGTTCTAAAATATTCAATAAAACAATAACAAACAAAACAGTAACAATAAAAAGATCGCCAGTTCAATCATGAGAAAAGTCAGCAGCTTTTTGACGGTTTAAAACCGGACCAAACTGTTCCTGCTCATCGGGATTTAAACCAATATGATCCTGAAGCTACACAGATCATCTTCCAACATTCCACAATCATCCTTCACCTTATATTTTGGTTACAATGCCCACCTAGGTGGCGTTCCCATCTCAAATAATTGAACATTAATCATTGATTTATATTATTTTCTAGTTTATAACCCTAAACCAGATTAAACTTTAAAGAGTATTTCTTCTGAATCAATTAAAGTTTTAGTTACGGTATCTTAAACTAGACAATCGTTCTATTTTGAGGGTTACATATATATTAGCTTGCGTATTCGTTAGATGTTTAGGGAGCGTACCTTTTTTATGGGGCACTCTTTAGGCAGGTCGCTAATCTTGACGATGCCGGGCCAGAAGACTTTATCTTTCTTGATAAAATCGCAGAGAAGCACATTTTTTGTATCCAATAGGGTCTTGGTCCATTTTCCGTGGCTACTCTTTACATATCCAACCAATCTCATCTGAAACACAACAGTGCTTAACACACCAGTAAGATTATTTACATCTCATTCACAATATTCCACAGAGACATGTAAGAATAAACAAAAAAGTATTGTCATGCGGTGAATTATGTTGTTTTACTTTAGAGAGAAACAATCTCCAAATAGTTTAAAGATGCTTTCAAGAGGTCCAAGAGACTTTTTCACTAAAAACCTACTAATAACAACTTGCAAATAGCTGCAAGGAATAATCAAACAGATTTAAAGGCTCCTCTAAAGATCAGTGTCTTTTTTAGTAATATAAAAGCATTATATTAAATCAAACAAAAGGTCGTGTCACATCTGCCTTTCATCTACCCCAGACCAATTAAAGAGTGGAATCTTTTAAATACAACATCGAATATTACAGTTGTATTTAAGCAAGTTTATGTTGATTTACGTAATGCTCCTTATCCAGGTCTTGAAACATTTTTGCAGCTCCGTCAATGGAGAAGGACGTCCGGTTAAAATGAGATATCTTCAGACCAGACATGTCTGCAATGGCGTTGGAGTTGTCTTCACATGGGTAGAAACTCTCCAGCCACACTTTGTACACACTCTGGTCCTGGGAACATAGCGGCAAAATTCAAATCAGTTTACTTTAAGCTCTACCCCATCTGTTTTAATCATCCATTTATTTTATGTCACACCTTCACATTCTAGAACGCTAGGTTCTAGCCCGGTACTGTTTTACACATTACTTCAAACTAGTCCTAGAGGGTCGCGGCATTATCACATGGATAAAATCCACTGTGGATTAGCGGGATTTGAACCCGGGACCTTGGGCTCCGAAGCGCCGCGTTCTACCACTAGACCAGCTCACTCCCCAAAACTTATTCAATACACTGCGGCACGAAAAATTGAATCCAAAATTGCGAGCTTTTAAAATTGATTTATGGAAACTTGTGCGATTTCAGCTGCAACCGTGAACAGACATGAATCAAATCAAAAATGTTTGATTTTTTGTTGATATTGGAAAAGTGAGATTAGAGGTTAAAAAAATTAAATGGGCTTCTGCTCACACAAGTGATTGTTGATTATTTGTTTATTTTAAGATTCTTGTATTTTATTGAGCTTATGGTTATAGAATCAAATATACCATAATCAATGGCAGAGTTTCAGAATAAACTTACCAACCAGTTTTGTATTTTATTTAATTTGTTACGATCAAATGTCTGAAATTATGAAATAAGCATTTAGCAGTTCTGATTGTTTACATAGAAATGTCAACACAAAGGTAAACATTGTGTTCATGCTTCCATGGAGACCAACTAATATTCGGTTTTGAAAACCTCACCTTAAAACTTTGGACATCCAAGGAGCGTAGTCCAAGAGGAAATCAGGTAAGTGAAAAGGCCTATGACTTTCCTAGATACGTGGACCATCTCTGTGCTTAATTTTGGACGTATCGGTTAAGTATTTTAGTCGTGGCAGCCAAACAGACAAACAGACACCACCTCAATTGTATAATAGTATAGATAGATGTACTGATATAAATGAATTTAAATACATCCTCTTTGGGCTGGGTGAAGAAACTAATCCATAGTGGTCAGTTTGTTATCGCCGGTGTACTTTTACTTTAGGAAAACCAATGCAAATTGTAGTGCCACTTATGTTTATTACATTAATAATTAGTACAGGAGCTTTATAATTTAGCTTTGTTGCTTTATTATTAAAGAAAGTGTGTGTGTCGATCTAAAAATGTAAATCGCTGACAATTAATAAAACCTATTTTAATTTTAATGTTTAGGCTATATGGATAACGGCAGCAAACAAAAACTCAATGGAGACTCCAACTATAGTAAGATTTTCTTGGAATGTAAGACTTTGTAGGATAAAATCACATATATCTCAAAATCTGCTTATGTTTTGTTTACAGGAGTACTTCCATAAATTAATGCCAAAAATATGTAATAACAAAAAATACCAACATCAAACCTCAATGATCGTGGTGGATCTTCTCTAGTTTCAAACCAAACCTTTCTTGGGTTCGAACCGGTTACAGTATTGCCAGATTACATTACGAACAATTTAACCACTTGGATGCTAGGCTAATAGGAGTCTCCAACCTCTTTATTAAATACACAAATAAATTCCCACAAGCTTATTTTAATGAACAGCGTTTTATCAATTTTAAGTTATTAAAGTACATATTTATACAGTAATTACTTCATCTATGGTAATATACTTTCTTTTGTAAATCAGTGTAACTGTGACGCAAATGTAGATTGCAATAGGTACGTTTGATATTGAAATATTTTCGTTCATCAACCAACGTTGCTCCCAATTGGAAGGTTGATATTATACGATTGAAACTGCTCATTATACTGAGTTTTCATATTCTTGTTTGCTTCTTATTTTAAAACGAACGGTAGAGATTCTACAAGTTTGTTACACAGTCACTGTAGGATTGCAATTCAAACAGTTGTCTTTAATAAATTGTAAGTTTTGGTTAATTTATCAAAAGGTTGTTCTTTATTTTCATGCGTTTTAACCCCATTAACATTGCTGTGCTGTAAAAAATATAATAGACTGTTTATTCGTGTAACAAAATGACCTGGTCTTGTGCTGTCTAAAGTTTAACTTTTGTTACATACTTAAACACTCTTTTTATTTTGTTAACTTCATATCATGACACTCTGGGTGAACATAAGATTATCAGGAACAGTATTGTACAGTAATAAATTGCAATATCGGCAAATTGTATAGTTGTACGATTATGGAGAAAAGGCAGATACCCTATTGATAAAAAATATTTTTAAAGTTCTGTAAAAAGGTAATAAAACTGAGTCAATCTAATCCAAAGATAAGAAACAAGCTAATTAGCCAAAATGTAAATTAAATCCTTCAAAATCAAAATAACGTACTTTTGAATAATTGTAAATATTTCAAATTAATCAAACTAAATAAATTTGATAATACAAATCGTTCCCTACCATACACTGTCCAACCAAAGGTTTTTTTTAGATACGGCATTAGAATGCAAACAAAATGTCACACAGCAAAAATCCATTAAAGCCAAGTCATTATTCTTTAAGGGTGTTTGGTCGCAAATTTTCATGTCTAATGTTTTGTTATTGTTTAATTGTACTAAAAATTAGAGATACAAACATATAAGAAAATTTTTTTTATTTTGAATATTAAGCGAGATATGGAGCTTGAAAGTAGTAAATTTTTCATCTTTGGTACCAATTCACAGGGAGAATGGGTAATGCGATTCTCACCAAAATTTGCATTCAGGTGTGGAAAAATAAGATAATAATCACTAGCTATTTAAAATTAAAAATTTTTAAAAAAATTTTTAATTTTATTTTTTATAAATTTTTTTAAAAATTAAATTTTTTTTTATTTAAAAAAGCTGTTTGTTTTTGGGAAAAATGTATCTGTATGTTGGAATAAAAAAAATGTGATATGTTAACCCGTTTGGGCTGTGAATTCGTACCTTTGATGCCTTGCGCTGTCGGAGCACTAACACCGGGGCTTTAGAATACTTTAACATCACGTAATTATTAACATCCTTTAACATTGAAAGAATACGTTTATCGTTGTATTCTAAAGCCCCGGTGTTAGTGTACACACTCTCAACGAGTAGTGCTCCGACAGCGCAAGGCATCAAAGGTACGAATTCACAGCCCAAACGAGTTAACATATCGTTTTTTTTATTCCAACATACATATACATTTTTTCCCAAAAACAAACAGCTATTTTTAAATTTTGTAAAAATATTTTTTTATTTTTTAAAAAATTAAAAAAAATTAATTTTTTTTTTAATTTTTAATTTTAAATAGCTAGTGATTATTATCTTATTTTTCCACACCTGAATGCAAATTTTGGTGAGAATCGCATTACCCATTCTCCCTGTGAACTGGTACCAAAGATTAAAAATTTACTACTTTCAAGCTCCATATCACGCTTAGTATTCAAAATAAATAATTTTGTCTTATATATTTGTATCTCTAATTTTTAGTACAATTGAACAATAACAAAAAATAAGACATCAAATTTTTGACCAAACACCCTTAAACTATTATAACCAACGCCATCAAATCCGCCTTTAATATGTGATGTGGCTAAGATCAAGGATACAATGTATATAGAGAGGTAGAGGGATAACAAAGGAAAGAGAAGGATAAAGATTGTGCGAAGGGGAGGAAAAGGTATCCAATGTTTACCAACAACTCTCCTGATGAAATACTTCATCGCAATTTATGAAGTGACGAGCACGGAATACCTCAGAGAGTGTTATACTTTTATTTCGGGACTAGATATCTTACCTTCCTCTCTGCTTTGTCTCGGGTAACACGCAGATCAGCATTTCAGTTTTCAAGAAAAAGTATGTGTTGACCTCATCTTTTATTTTTTATTTTAAAGATTTTTTCTCTTTGAATTGAATAGTGACCCCGGGTAAGTGGGGTTGTTTAACCTTTCATTTTTCCAACCGTTTCATTGACATTCGTTTTTAATTCAATTCAAAGGCTAAAAATGACCCGTCACAGAAAATTTATAAATTGTACATTAAAATTGAAAATGAAAATTTTGTATATATTTATTTATGTTAAAACAAACAATATCTATATCTATCTATCTATATATTAATAGGCAAGCATGTTTCTTTAAAACCTTTTTTCTCAGCTCGTGTGCATCGCAGGGAAAATCTACGCATACTGTTGGAAAGTAATTTTCCTGTAGATGTGCAGAATGCCTTTAAAAGTTAAAATAATTTAACAAATAAGCACAAAAAATTAATTTGAAAACTTCAAAAAATTAACATGGACCATATGGGTTGCCATGATGGTGACGAAATAACAACAAAATGTAAACAGAAAATCAAAACAAATGGAAGAAATTCCAATCACATGTTTTATTTACAGTGTGGGGAGAAAATAGAGAAGTCTGTACATTAATTATTTTTGGTCGAGTTTCGACCACAGGGCGATCACTAGTACTTATTTAATACGCAAGCAGGTTTTTTGTGACAATTACTCCTCCGAAACTACTGAACATGTTTTTGCCTGTTTTTGGTGCTTAACGTGAAGTTGTGCAGGAAACATTCTTTTTAGGGAAATAATTAGAGAGTGAGGACCTGGGGCCCTTTAAAGTTTCATATTTCTCCATAAGATTAACATGAGAAACAAACATCGTTATAAAACTCCAGCTGTTGTCAGAAATTAAAAGTAAGAAGAAGAACATAATATTGTAAACAGTAAATGTGTAAACTATCTATGTTGTATTTAAAAAAAGTCAGGAAATGTTTGTAGAAAACACTAAAAAACAATATCAGCTTATGAAACATGATAAAATATTTACAGAAAATGTTGATTATAGTATATTGAACTGGTATATACATCGTGAGTATTTCCACGGGTTAAACACCGGTAATCTTTGAGTTGACTCTTTTAAACTCATTGTAAATCTGACTGTTATTCGTTTTGAAATAACTTCTGTAATAATATGCAATCGATCGAATTCGAGGCAACTGTTAAATACCCTGTATTTAGAATAAGAAAAGCATTTAAGATAAGGTGCTGGGATTGTAATTTAAAATTATAGTCGTAGAGTAGGTACACATATTTATCTTTGAATTGTTCCAAACTCATCTTTAGGAAACTTGTTATGAACTGTATTTTAAAATAAGGAGACCTATGTTAAAAAAATATTAGATTTTCCCAATTAACAATTTTAAAATAGCAGCCATTTTATTTTGTAAAGTTTAAATAGCAATATACCAACAGCTGATTTTGTAAAAAAGTTTACTTCTAGCATTTGATTCTATCAAATGGCGCTAAGTTCAATAAGATCGAATAACAAAACGGCTGATATATTACGATTATTAGTTGTAAAACCAGAAAAAAATTTGTGCAACCACATACTGTTGACCAAAGGAATAATAATTTTAAACATAGCCTTATTTTACCTAATTTTTATTACCATAGAGTGCTGCTGTACTGTTATTTCCCTTACTCCAACTTTTTAACGAGCCTTTAAACAAATTTTGCACCTTTTATCTCCCCATGAACTTTCATAGCAGCAACAAGTAAAAAATAAAACTTCGATGTAGATTCGATGAGAGTCTTATTCAATCATGGTATTCTTTACTAAAATGGCTAAAGCTAGTCCATATGTGCTGTCTGATTTAGTACTGATAAGTATCTAAATTGAAATCGACAGCACTCCTCCAACGACACTTAATTTTAGATACTTCAAAACTCTCACTAAATCTCTTACCTGAGCATGGACAAAAGAAAGACAAAATATCCACGTGTATACAAAATTCCACATATCCTCTGCTTCACTACAAAACCAACACCACTACTAAGCTGAACATGGGAAAACTTCCGCAGCGTTGCATGTTATCTGTCATCTTCCGTTATCAATGATTGTCCACCATGACATTTCATGGACAGGACATCACACGGCCGGTGTTTTGGAAGTGGGAAGGTCACATTAAAAACATGTCTCCGAACCTAACCATCAAACAATTAAACCCCAATCTATCGGCCTACATTGTATGTTGCTGATTCAAGTACCGTTGATTTTGAACATTTAGTTAGAGGAAAAAGAAATGTTTGTGGTGTTGATGTGTAATAGAAGTCCAGTGAGCCGTTATTAATTCGTACAGTAATAGTATTTAAGCCAGTTTTAGAAAATGACCATGGTTGAATTAAACCAACCACCGGCAGAGCGCGTTGATGTGAATTACCCATTTATGTCGAATATGTCAGCTTAATCCCGGCCAAACTCAAATATAACCCATTTTTGTATGACATAGTGTACATTATGTCACCTTAAGACATAAAATACGTTTTTAGTCAAAAATGTTTATCACACTCACTGGAACATCAACTAAGACTAAATGGCCTACATTTCACACTGTGGTACACTATGGTTGTGGCTCTTTGATTGATGTTCCTTTGAATAGATAATTGGCCAAAGATTGTTCATAGAAATTTTTATGTCTACTTCAGTATTAAAAAGTCAATGAGAAAGAGGAATAAAGAGTGTTGTAGAGGCACAAAATCGTCCCTGTAAGTGTGAGTACAAAGTAACGAGCGGGGTTAACGATTATTTCTGTTTGAATTAATTATGTTTATTGTAAACGCATACATTTACGAGATCAAGGAAAAAGCCTTAACATATTAAGAGCAATTATCACTTTTTGTATGTAGGCTACTGAAAAATTGACCAATGAATGTCCATCTGCAATTAGTTCGCTGCGAACAAATATAAACTAAGTTTATAGCAAGCTGTGGTATTGTTTTAAAAGCTAAAAAATAACAAACTTAGAGTAATTGTTATTTTTTAAATGCAAAAACTTGTCATAATTGAAACTCGACAATGGATCAGAGAAATCAGCAGCCTTTTTATGTTTAAACTGCATATTTTACTGTTAAAATACAATACTTAGAGTAATTGTTATTTTTAAAATGCAAAAACTTGTCATAATTGAAACTCGACAATGGATCATATATAGAAATCAGCAGCCATTTTATGTTTAAACTGCATATTTTACTGTTAAAATATAAACTGTCACATTTACTTACATCACTCATTGTGTACAGTATAAAATACAATACAATTCTACTATTTTGATTACAGACACAAGAATCCTTTTAAACTGAAAGCTTTTAGCGATTGCATGTGTAGATAAGATCAGTAGAGATGGGCATTTGGACACCAGATTTCAGTATTCGTTGGCTAACAGTCTTGTGCGTTTTGTTGTTTTTTATATTCATACACAATGCTTAAACGTATTATTGAGTATTTTACTCACAGCTCTATTCACGGCTTGCATTATATAATAGATTCTAAAAGACACATAAGTGAAAGGTATGTATTTTTTACAACTTATTTCTGGTTCAATATAACTGGACATTATTTACAGAAGTTTGAGCAAAAATGTGGACGAAATTACTATAAAAACAATGTGGGTTCGCTCAGATTTGAGGCACCTTGTAACGTCATAAATTTAAATATGTATATTAAACTCTGCACTTTTTAACCTGCGTTTTAAAGCTGTTGCGAAATCGGCAGGTATTCACATTATTTATGAAAGAATTTTATATAAGTTATATATTGATTTAAGAATTAAGAACAGCATCGATTGTAACAAAATATTCTTGAATGTTTTAACCTGATGTTCTAGTTCTAGTGTGGAAAACAAATAATTTAAACATTCAATGAAAACAAAAACATTGTAGAAGGGCACTGCCATGGAGACCTGTGAAATTTAAGAATGGAGAAACCTCTCAAGTCAAACTTTAATGGAATATAATGGAATATCACCCCTTGGTATCACCTACAAAGTTCCAAAGTTGAACTAAAATACTAATGTGTTCTGTAGGATATTCTGGGCAGTTGTATGTACATCTTGTCTGATAGGAGCCGGACTGGTGCTGAGAGGAAATATTTACAACTATGAAAACAACGCCGTCAGTTTTGTAGTGGAGACGAACCACTTGAAATGGAACACTACCTTCCCTGCGATATCTGTCTGCGAGTTCGAGTCCTCCGACAAACTGTTTGATGCTGGAACCAAGTGAGTGGTTTGTCAAGTAGTTTTCATATTCATTTCCTAATATTGTAAGAAACGTCCTGTGACATTAGCAGTTTACGCAACGATCGCGCAATGATAGCGTTAACGACACGAGTTGAAAATTTAAAATTTAAAAACTTCTACGAGTGTCGTTAACACTTACGCGAGTTGCGTACACTACTTTACCTATGACAGTGTTTAATAACTAAAAATCACTACTCATAACTTCTAAGAGAGGTTATGTTTTCGTTTATAACCTCTCATTGCCACTGACAGTGATGCAACGAAACATTGTACCAAAGTAATTTCACTATTCAACAATTTAATTGGCCTGAACAGCTGATTACTTGAGAACTTCGTTGGTCTGTTTATTTTGTACCAAAGTAAATTCACTATTCCACAATTTAATTGGCCTGAACAGCTGATTACTTGAGAACTTCATTGGTCCGTTTATTTTGTACCAAAGTAATTTCACTATTCAACAATTTAATTGGCCTGAACAGCTGATTACTTGAGAACTTCATTGGTCCGTTACCCGTGTTGTCATGAGTAAATCTATGCTGTTATGAAAGTAAACGATGCTGTTATGTGAAACTTTTAAACTCTAAGAACTGAACTGAAACTGTTACTTTAAAACAGTCGTAGGAAAAAAATTCATAACAAAAAAATTTGGCATAATTCAAAGGTTGCCATAACGCTTTTCAACAAAGATACTTGTTTCACTTCCCTAAGACAGCAGACAGTGACATACTTTATGTGCGTATGCAGGGGAAATGTAAAATGAAGTGGGTGACCTGTGTAGCTTTTTTTGTTGACTAAATCAGTTATTTCTTTAGCCAGTTAGAAAAAAGATTCCTTAAGATGGCTTTTCTAACAAAATTTTACTTCACATCTATTTAAGTTTTTCCATCCAGGTTATTGGTAAATAATTAAGTAGGTTTACTCGTTTATGCGTTTATGCTACAAGGTTGTGGTACTTCTTTTTTAAATGGTGTATATATTTCAGGGATATATTTACTGAAAGGCTCAGTTACTGACTGGGACCACTGTTATTTCCTTATCCAGAACCCAGGACCCTTTTGAGATTGTAAGCCCAATGAATTATCAAGTGAAGTTTGGGTTAGTTTTAGACCATACAACGATTTTGATCATTGGTTTAAATCTCTTATATAACACCTAGAAAATTTGTTTGTATCCTATAAGCAAGCATTTTCTTGAAAACCATTTCTTCTCAGATCAGTGTGCATCGCAGGGAAAATCTACGCCTACTGTTAGGAAGATCTTTGCCTGTAGATGTGCCTTTATAAATTAAAATATGCTCAAGATAAGCACAACAAATTAATTTAACATTAAAAAAAGTTAACATGGACATTACGGGTTGCCATGCTGGTGGCGAAATAACAATGGAATATAAACAGAAAATGAAAACAAATTGAAGAAATTCCAATCACATGTTTTATTTACAGCGTGAGGTGAAAATAGAAAAGGTTTCACAATGCATACAATTATTGTACATTGTGTTTGGTCGAGTTTTCGACCACGGGGCGACCTCTAGTTTATATTAATCTGCGCTAAGATCACATTGGCCCTCCCAGTTCTTATGACAACAAATTAAATTTTTGTATTTAACGTTTTGTTGTGTTTATTTTATTAATTTTGATTTATTTTATGTTTGTTTGTATTGTTTATTTGTTTTTAGCGAATTTCCCATATAGGGAATAAGCTATTACCGTAGTACTCATGGTAAGACCTGGACCCGAGACCGATTTAATTTTTCATTTTGAGGTCCCTAGAGGCCAAAAACACCATCCGTTCAAATTCATATATATATATATATATATATATATATATATATATATATATATATATATATATATATATATTTATATATATATTTATATATATATTTATATATATATATGTGTGTGTCCGTTAGCGCGATAACTCGAGCAAAAATGATCCAATTTTGATGAAATTTGGTACAAACGTGTAAACCTACGTTTATTCGAACGAGTTCGGGATCCAGCATAATCGGACCATGGGAACGGGGGTTTATGGGGGGTTTTATGGGGTAAAAATGGGTTTTTCCCATTTTTGAACCTAAAAACAAAAAATTTTGCGATTTCTTTCTAAACCGTTTTGTAGAGCTTAAAAAAAGAAATAATTTAGTATATTGAAGCGCTGTTGTATGCCTAACGGTCACGGAGAAAATTCAAAAATAGTGTAATTAAAAATTCCCATGTTATTCTTATGGAGAAAATGAAAATTGTTGTAGTTTACTTGTTTATGGGTATATATTGATAAAATTTGGCAAATTTATTTATTTCATCCTATACTATTGACGTATGGTCAAAAAACACTTTTTGCCTTCCCCGTAGCAGCAAACCTAAGCACTCGTTAAATCTAATGTTATTTAAATAGAGAATAATATGTCTTATTTATGGAAATATTTTAGTAAAAATGTAATCAGACGAGTTGAAATTCGCTTAGTCTGCAGGTTTGCTGCGGCGGGGGTATTTATTTATATTTATCATTGCTATTTATATGATTTTTACAGGTTAGTTCGTTATTAGTCTCTTAACGCCCATTGTTTGAGAAACGATATCATTGTCCATAGCCCTACTATGTCGTTTTTGGTCATTTGCAAAAACTACAGTCGGATATAATTTATATTATAAAACGTAAATCGTCAATATTTTAAAATTCTAGTGTGACAAACATAAATAATAGATTTGTAGACAGATGCCATCTTTATCATTCGAACAATGAGAAACTATGAAACTACAAAAATTGTTTTAAGTCAAGACTGCTGTACAAGAGTGAAAAGTAAGAAATAGATCCACAAATTAATTGTTACAATAACCATTATTTTAGGCTTTACGGAGAAGATCGTAACATGAATCTAGACTTTTTCCTCCGTGATATCGCCTTCTACTACGGCACCTGCTACACTTGTTCTGCTCATTGTGGCAAAACGATCAACTGCAGTCAGGACTTTGAAGATATTGTGAGACAGGTAAATAAACAGAATGTTTAATATAGCCAAAACATACCGTAAGTAATATGGTGTATTTCGTCGCTATAAGCCTGATGTGTCTCTTTGACGTAAGTTCAAGTTTAACGAAAGCCCTATATTTTTCGTAATACTGAGTCGTTCAAACTTTGCTAAAATTTTCAATTTGGCTACCAAAATCGGTGACATCCTACTATGTCCTACAATGTCTAAAAATGTTTACCCATTTCTTTTCTTGTTTGCTCGTTTAAAGAAAGTTAGATGCATCAGAAACCACTCCGCCAACAAAACAATATTTTAAAGTTCCACTTCAATCAAGCTAAATTTCTTGGTTTGAATGTTAAATTAAACAATGTAACATAATGTTAAACAAAAATTCATCCAAATAACGTTATAGTCAAGCAGCTGGCTATACTTTAGTGTGTAAACTTGCGTATACTCAATATTGTTTCCTACAACGGAACTCAGTCCGTTTCTCACCTTTTCAAAAATATGTGCTTTGGGCACGGTATCAGCCATGTGACTACTTCTCCTTACTACCCACAGCCTTCCCACGCTGGGATGTTCAACCGAAATCTTCAATCCGCTCTCATAGCTTTCCATGCTGACAAGCAGACCCCTTGGGATCAGGAACTCCCTTGGATTCAATTTTTTTTCAACACTGCACACCATGAGAGTCACAAGGCGGTCCCTTTCGAGTTGTTACTGGGCTATCCAACCAATAATCTCTTGGCAAATTTGTGGGAAATTGGCGACCTTCTGCCACCCCCTGTAGCTGCCAATGTCAAGGCAACTTGGCAGACGGCTAGGAGGAACTTGATCAGAGCTAGGGATTTGGTCTGGAGAAAGCACAATCGGATCGGTTAGACAATCCTTTCCAGGTGGGGGATTTGGTTTTCTGTAAGGCTCATCAAGTCAGTTCAACCGTGGACAAGAGAGCTGCTAAGTTGTCCCATCGGTGGTCAGGTCCCCACCGCATCTTGAAGTTCTTCTCCGTGCGGCTGGGAGATCCGCAAACTGGAGAAGTTTTCCGAGGGCTCACGTTTCTCATCTTAAGCCTTTCCGTGGAACAATTCCGTAGGCCACCTTTCATTACTCTTGTGTCTGAGTGGGAAGTGTGCACTGGGCCAGAGAGCTTGATCACCTCTTCTGTCCCTTGTGCACTGCTGAAGATTTTTTTCCCTTGTAAATTTTCCAGCACCTGTGGATACCTATACTCTGGATACCTCTCCTATGGATACTTCTCCTCTGGATACTTCTCCTTTGGATACCTCTCCTGTGGATACTTCTCCTCTTGGTACCTCTCCTGTGGATACCTATTTTCCCTTTTCTCTTGTAAATTTTCAAGCAACTGTGGATACCTATACTCTGGATACCTTTCCTATGGATACTTCTCCTTTGAATACCTAGTTTACTAGATACCTCTCCTGTGTATTTCTTCTCTGGATACCTCCCTCGTGGATACCTTTATATATACAATACCTGTAAATACTGTTCGTAGTTGTTGTGAAAACTAATTCAGGCCAAACTAATGAGGAACATATGTTTAAACAAATACTCCTCTGGATACCTCTCCTCTATACACCTATCCTCTGGATACATCTCTTATAAATACCTAGCTTGTGGATACTTCTCCTCTGGATACCTCTACTTATATCCAGATACCTCTCCTGTGGGTACCTATACTCTGGATACTTCTCCTGTGGATACCTCTCCTGCAGATACTTCTCCAGCTCCTCTGGATATCTCTCCTCTGGATACATCTCCTTTTGGATACTTGTCCTCAGGATACCTATTCCTCTGGATACCTCTCCTCTGGATATCTCCTTTCGATGCCTCTCCTGTGGATACATATCCTCTGGATACTCTTTCCTCTGGATACCTCTCAAATATATCCAAAGGATACTTTCTTTTGGATATATAGGAACATATATTTAAACAAATTACTGGATAATTATCCTGTGGATACTTCTCTTCCGGATACTTCTCCTTTGGATACTTCACTTCTCCTCTGGATACGTATACCCTCTGGATACGTATACCCTCTGGATGCCTCTCCTGTGGATACCTATCCTATGGATACCTCCCTCGTGGATACCTATATATATATACTGAACGTAGTTGTTGTGAAAACTAATTCAGGTCAAACCAATGTGGAACATGGACAAACTCCTGTGGATACCTATCCTGTGGACACTTCTCCTCCGGATACATCTCCTCTGGATACCTCTCCTTTGGATACTTCTCCACCTCTCCTCTGGATACCTCTCCACCTCTCCTCTGGATACCTCTCCACCTATCCTCTGGATACTTCTTCTCTGTGTATATATACTTATCCTTTGGAACTCTGGATACCTGTTCGTAGTTGTTGTGAAAACTAATTCAGGTCAAAACAATGTGGAACGACAGGTTTAAACAAATACTCCTGTGAATATTCTGAATACATATCCTCTGGATACCTCTCCCGTGGATACCTATTCTCTGAATATCTACTCTGGATACCTAGTTCCCGGATTGGAGGTTTCGTTCAGCTGCTGTCTTTGGAGAGGGTCACCCGGGAGGACACTCCATCTTCCTCCTCCTTGGGCTGCCAAGGGCCCAGCTTCTCCGGGGACCATTAAACCACCCACCACCTTCTACCACCACCGCCTACCACCAGCAAGGACAATAATTGTGCCGCCATGTACCGCAAGTTGTTTTTGAAACTAGTGAACTTTTTTTTTAATTGCTATTTGAAGGGGTCCAAAAAATGATTTATTAGGCTATCTGTTATTTATTTCATAGTAATTGTTATTTATTTAATGTTGATTTATTTTAAAGTTGAAAACAGATCAGTTAGGTACCATCCTTTTATTTACTGTTAGGCCTAACCTTTTACACAGTTACCATTTTTGTAAGATCAGAAGGGTAGACTATAAGTTCATGTTTGATTTAAATTTTTTAAATAAGCATAAAGAGATTATTTCAGAATTTTTTTGAATGGTTGACATTTTATTGATCGTTATTTGTTGATTTTGAAACTATAGGCTTTTGTTCACAATTTTTTTTGTCTTGTAGTTCTTTAAAAACATTATCAATGTATTACCGCCTAAACTTGCACTTTAGCGTGGTCCCGAGGCAACTAGGCGTCATCATGGTCTTCCATGATTGGGCAAAATTGTGAATACTGCCCGTAGTCATTGAAACATTCATTATCATAGTCTACCATGATTGCAACTAAACCTAGGACATCATCAGATAACAACATCTAACATAAACTAGTATTTTACAATAATTGCTATAGGTTCGTGCTCCATGCAACGAACTTTTGGGAGAATGCAAGTTCAATGGACTTCAATTCAAATGCTGTAGGTATTTTCGACTTCTGAGGACTGAAAAGGGCCCGTGTTACACCATAAACTCTCTACTGTTAAAGAAGTGAGTGTAAATTGATTTTTATAATACTTATTCAAATAATTTGACAACAGTTTAGTTAATTATTGACGACTTCTGTTTTTCAATAAGGTTTAATTTAAATGTAGCTGTTCCGACTACCTTTTTTCTGTAACGTATAAAACATAAGACTGCGTGAAAAAATTCATATAAAATATACAAACATGCCATTGATAACAAATAACCCAAAATTAAGTTAAACACAGAAGTGCTTCTTTGGATGGATTTGAACATATTCTCAACGAAATTCCAACCAATGTAGTTTGTAGAGTTATTGAATGATTTTACTATACGTTTAAAACTATAAACTCTAAAATAAACCAAAAACGTTTTGAAACAAACTTAAGTATTGTTAGTTTTTTTTCCGTAACAGAGCTTAACTCCTTGTAAACCTACATTTGCCATGCAGCCATAAAACAAATCCAGTTTTAAGACATGAGGATTCCCTTTTCATCTAATGTGTTTTTGAAGGGTACTCTTGAAACCCCATTAGCATAAATTTATTTGTTCAAAACCTTTTTAAAATCAGTTAAAAATAAAATAATTTGTATTTCAGGAGCAAATTCCCTTTAGATATGACTCAAAATTGGAAAACTGGGCCAGGAAAACTGGAGTTCAGAGCATACGAAAAAGTGAAAGTAAGTACACATTTTAGATCAATAACACAAAATAAAGTGGTTTATTAAAATCGCTAAATATAATAACTATGTCCAGATTCATGTTTGTTTTTTTGTGTCGCCATTAATCAATGGCAATGCCCACTAGAGAATTACGAAGAATGTGTCATTTGGTTTAATGGTAAAAGTCATTTTAGTTTAATGGTAAAATTCATTTTGGTTTAAAACCAAGATGAGTCAAATATGCTGAAACCATAATAAACCACGATAATGTTGTTGGTGGTTTTAAGGGTTGTTGACTTTGACGTATTATTAACTACTAGTTGCAGTATTTACTCAATCTTGATTGAATAGTAACAAAACCAATACATGTTATACTTTTAGCGAATTTCCCTATAGGGAAGTAGCTATTACCGTAGGTCTCATGGTAAGACTTAGGCCCGGGACCGATTTACTTTTTCATTTTGATGTCCCCAGAGGCCAAAAACACCATTCGTTCAAATTTTTATATATGTATATATATATATATATATATATATATATAGATTTATATATATATGTGTCCGTGAACACGATAACTTGAGTAATTTTTATCCGATTTTGATGAAATTTGGTTTGAAGGTGTAAGGCGGGATAAACTTGAATGAGTTCGCGATCCAGCATGATCGGACCATGGGAACAAGATTTTATGGGGGGTTTTATGGGGTAAAAATTGGTTTTTCTCACTTTTGACCCTCAAAACACAAAATTTTCCAATTTTTCTCTAAACCTTCTTAAAGAGCTTAAAAAAACAAACAATTCAGTATATCAAAGTGTTTTTGTACGGTTATTGGTTACGGAGAAAACTAAAAAAAAATTAAATTTAAAATTCCCATGTTATTCTTATGGAGAATATTGTAAAATGTTGTAGTTTGCTTGTTTATGGATATCTTTTGATCAAACTTGGCAAATATATTCATTTTATACTAAGCAATAATTATTTTACTTAAAACACACTATTTATTAGTTTCCTTGTAGCAGCAAACCTAGGTACTCGTTAAACCTAATGTTATTTAAATAGATCAATTGAAAATCAATTCAGCCAAATGGAAATTCGCTTAGACGGCAGGTTTGCTGCGGCGGGGGTATTTTTAATGTTACACTTCATTAAAGTCCATGATCACCATCAATCTATTTAATAACTAAACAATCAGTGTGTCTCAGTTTTTTTTTGTTTTTTAGGTTATCTGTACTTTCCAAATCACTCCTCATGTTTGTCAGTATAAGATGATGGTTATGTTTATTTTTAGCACGTTTCTAATGTTCAGTTGAAATAATTTTAACATTGAGAAGATCTAGCTAGCTACATGTTGAATATAGAATATTATATGACTTCAACAACCCAAACTTACAAAACAATTATTGTTCTTCACATAAGTATTTGCATGAAGAATATAAATTTTTATTGCCCACTTATGGAGTAGGTGTGTAGCTAAAACTGCAATTACTTCATAAAAAGTAACTAAAATAACTGTTGTCTAGGTTAAAGTGTAAATTTACTTTAAAATAAGCTTCTGTATTTTTTTTTGTTTATTATACAACTAAAATGGGCTAGTTAAGAACAACAATAAAATGAGTTTAAACTAAAACAGCTGTGTTTGTAGCATTATGACGATGTGTTTTTAACTGCCAGGTTGTTCTTCATGCTCCAGAAGATGTGCCATTTTTAAACCACCCTCAACAAGAGCAGGAGATTATCCCTTGGGGAAATATCTTTGACATGAGGTTTCAGGTACTTCGCCCTTTTTCTCTTATCAGATTAGAATTTCATAGAATGTCTAACCAAAGTCACCATGATTCAATAGATGGCATCATACATTTAAAGGTTAAAGGCTGGGGGGATTTGAAGGTTTTTATTTGATAATGTTGCTGAACATGATTGATTTTCAAGTGATTAAAATGATTTCAGTCTGTCACATTAAAATCAAAAATGTCATTAGCTTTGTAGCTAGGTGCTTGTCACAAATAAATTAAAAGCTCATATTTTTCCTTACATTTTTCTAACTGTGAACTCAACAGGAGTCTTTTAAGTCACTAGTCAATAAGGACTACAATAGACAAATTAATGTCTGAATTCTTGTAAGTAATGAGGATGGTGCTGAAACTAGTTGTTAAATACAATTTGAAGGATTTCTATGAGCAGACAAGATATTTACACAATTTTCAATATATTGTTAATTTGTAGGTTATAACACCATAATGAATTAACCAAATTAATTTAATTACAAGGTCAAATAAGAAGACTGTCAAATATTTTCCTACAAGATATAACAGCCTTGTTCTGGCCGACATTTTCGATTATTTGCAGCAATCCATCCTTGGAGCAAACTGCAATTCAACAGACTATATTGTGTAGCTTGCCTTAAAGTGGATAGAGTTTGATACAGTAAATTTATTTATTTATTATTTCAGGTCAAAGAGATAAAAAATGATCCATACGTGAAGAAAGTTTCAATCAGTCAAAGGAACTGTCGGTTCCCTGATGAAAACTACCTTCAGACTTACAGCTTGTACAGCTACTCTGCATGTGTCGTAGACTGTCGGGCTCAGGCCCAGATACAATACTGCAACTGCTTGCATCACTTTATGCCGAAAATTGGTAGATCTAGGCTACCCGCATTTTGTGTGAAAGCAACATAGAGCGGACGAGTGTGGTCGCAACAGGAGGGTTTTTGGATATATCTGTAGATTTCAGGTTTTGGTTGACAGTTTTCATGCGGTGAAATGTCACAGATTTTATATTTAAAACTGGCAATCCAGTAAGCAAGTCAGGATACACAGCTTTTATTGGCCAAAAAAATCATATGGACCAACTGTCGCCTTTTTTTATTAAAGAGAACATGTGTGAGCCAGTCATAGAGTGCACCAGTGTCTACTTTCTCAAAAAAGTTAGTTGCTATAGTTCACAATAAGCACAGCAAAGTAAGGTACAGAAGAAACATTATAATGGTGCATTTAAGGGGTGTCTAGCAATAGTACTGGTTGTACAAGAGCTGAAGTATCATGACTAATCCCTTAACTGTGCAATAAGTCATTCCATTAGTTTGACTTGTTACATTTTTGGATATTCTACATAAATCAGCACAATCTGTTGGTAGCTCACACCAACTATGAAAATTTTTATTTAAAAAGTGGCGCCAACTTCAACATATATGGGGATGGAATGTCTAGTTGTATTAACAAAGATTATATCTTCATTCACATCTTTATTTTCTAATAACATCAATATTGCTAAGGTTTTTGTAGTGTAAACCCTGACCTTTTTTTACTGACCTTTACGTTATTTTATAAACTTCTACTATGTCTATCCATAATCAAGATTATAACTAAGAAATGGTTGTGTTTTATTTGCAGCTGGTGTAGCCACATGCAACTTGACTGGGTTGATATGCCTCTCCAATGTTTCAGGTTAGTTTCTAACTCAACATCAAGTTAACTTCAGAAAAAATATCTTACACTACTCTTATCAGCATACTAAGTCTCAGTTTTGCAAAATACCTTTGTGTTTTTATCCAATAGGATAGGCAGGGGAAGAGTGAGCAGTATTGATAAAATCTGCCTCTTTTCTACTCAAAGCTACCTTTTTTCCTTAAAACATCTTAAATGTGGCAATAATGTTAAATTACATGATAAAAAATACATCTTAACTGAAATTGCTACTTATTACTTACTCACTACTTCATATTTATTATTTTGAAACATACTCACACCTAGGTATGTTTGTAATTCTAGCTAGTGTAGCGGTCTGTGTTGCTTGGATACCACTGACTAAGATTTTATGGTTCTTTAACCAGGCCCGTTTATTGGCAACCCTATGACCAAGAACAGGATTCGGATTTAAACCTGTCTAAAAGGTAGAAATGTTACTGATTTTTCTTAGACTTCTGTTGCTCTAATCATGAATATTATAGCTGGGTTTTATTGGTTTATAATTTTTCAGACACACTAAGATCTTTAAGAACTGCAGATTACACAGAAAAGCTTGGACTTGTGTGCGATTGTCTCCCCAGTTGTAATGAGCCTGAGTACACGATCGTCTCTAGGACCACTGGCTTGTGAGTTACTATATTCTATTGATCATCTTACTTTTGGTAAACACACAGAAAGGGCCACTGAAAATTGCTATGGCTTGTTTTCGAAAGTAAAGAAGACAGCTTAAATGACAACACCTCCTGCTATGGTGGCTTAGTGCCAGCAGCCGGCAGCTGACCTTTCCTCAAGTAGTAGCTGAACTGAGAACAATGTTGCCCTTTCAGCTCGCTTACTACAATTAAAGTCAAAGGTTTTTCTCAAGGTCGAGACTTTGGAATAATTCAAGATACAATCATACAATGTACCTCGTACTTTGAACACATTATATTCAAACTTTTTTTATATATTTTTAGAAATGAAGAGTACAATGAAACAATTTATGGAAGATTTGGCTCCAAAATTTCAATTGAGATGGACTCATTACCAAAAGAGCAATTCATCAGAAAAGTTGTTCGATCTCCACTAGAACTTGTAGGTAAGTTGTCTAGTTGTAACTGACAGTGGTTTGCAAAATACAACTAGTTATTTCAACCCAACATTATAAAAACTACACATCATTCCAACCGGACATGATAAAGGCATAACACATCATTCCGACCCATTTTGTTGAATGATCTTTTTAAAATTCTCATTTCTATCAGTTTCTCTAAGTTCCAATATGATTCTTAGAGATTTATAACTACCTGATGATATAAGCAAGTAGTTAATATATGCTATTAATACAATAAAATTGGTTTGCATTATTTTGCAGAGGTGTTTTGTTTCTAGATGCATTATTGATCTTTATAATGTAATAGCAGAGTACCCGTCCTTCGTACGGGGTTGGAATATAAGTATAAAATGCTGATTGCAGTTATACTCAAGCTTTGCGTTTGCAATAAGGGAGGACACAGTTAAAATTTGTTTTTTTAAATTTACAGTATTCTATAGTATTACACATCTACCATAGCACAGAAAACATACTACTATAACCCAGAATGCCAACCGCATGGTAAAAAGCATTAAGTGTTTTGAGAGAGCTTTGCCTGTCAATCGTAGGCAGCGCCACCAGCGTTGCCATGCACTCAGCATAGCAACGCTGGTGGCGCTGCCTACGATTGACAGGCAAAGCTCTCTCAAAACACTTAATGCTTTTTACCATGCGGTTGGCATTCTGGGTTATAGTAGTATGTTTTCTGTGACCATAGCCATAATGTTCTACCACTTCACCTAAACAATAGAGAAAAAAAAATTATCAATAATTCGCAAAATATCACTAATTATTCATGAAATGAAAAACATAAACATAACTGTAAACAATCCTACTTTGACAGTTTTCATTGCGAATCACAGTTTTTTGTTGCTGCTTAGCTCAAATTAGCTGTTTTCATAATTGCAAAAAAAAATACAGTGCTGCACCCTGTTGGTAAATCTTATAACTTTTTAATGCTTTTCCATATCATAGAACCAACTTTTTTAGTTGAAACAGCTGACTAAATTCTTTAATTCCCTTTAAATATGAATACTCATAAGGTTAACATGGGGAACTACAGAGCCACTGGGGCGGATGGATTTTTGGGATAAGAATATGCCTATATGTTAATCGGGAATGTAAGCTATCATCATGCCAAATTTCAGCCCATATCCGTCCAGTGGTTTATGGGTGATTGAACTTCAAACACTTAAACAAACAAACAAACACACAAACTTTCACATTTATAATATTAGTAAGATTAGTAAGATAAGTAGAATCATTGTTAATATTATCATCGTTGACTTGTCGACGATCGTTCCTGTCATTGATATCGCAAATTAAACTTGTGACTTTGTTTGTGAAACTATTTCTAGTGTGATGTTTTACTTGGTTATTTCAATCATACTGTCTTTTCCAGTTTCCATGGGAGGAACAATAGGATTTTTTCTTGGAGCAAGTCTTCTGAGCATTGCAGAGTTCTTTTACTACTTCTTTATAAGGAAGCTGGTCGATCGAAAAAGGTCATCAGTCTTAAGCCATAAACCAGAACTTACAATCAAGACAAACAAAACTATGAAAAACAAGAAATCTAAAAACATCAAACAAGAAAGAATGGCAATTCCATACATATAGTCCAGTGCAATTAGACAAAAAATGACCTTGACCCGGACAAAATTGATAACAGGCTGAAAATTGGTGGAAACGTTCAGAACAATGTCCTGAGTGGCCCACACAAAGTCCCAAGAAATCCCAGTTGGGGAACGGCCGCCATCTTGAAAAAACTGCCGCCATCTTGGAAATTTAGATTTTTTGCTGTATCTTTTGAAGTAATAGTCCGAAAGGCATTATTTATGTCTCAAATTAAGCGTTTTCAACTCATGTATGAGGGTAGTATATAATTAAAGAGTTTAATACGTTTTAAGCATAAACATTATTTATATTAACCTAAAAATATATCTATAAAAATGATACAAATTTACAAAATATTTACAAAATGAAGGTTTTTTTCTGTTGTTCTTAATTGGCTTGTTAAAGCCATTAACCTTTTTGACATTTCTTGCAATTCACTATGGAATTGGTTAAATAAGGGGTGAATAAAAAGTCAAGACCCCCCCCCCCTCCTCTAATATTTTTCTAAGTAAATATACAGAAATATCCTTTTGGTGGTGTTGCAATCTTAGTATGAAGTTTCATTTGATGATTTTGAGTGTCCCCCAAAAAGAGGGAATTTTAAAGGCAACTCAAATATTTTAAAGTAAATCCTATTCAAGTGACACATTATCTTGAAGTGTTTACAAAAACTTAAAGAATGGTGAAAACCAGTGTTCGCTATATCTTCTCTATCCAAAATGGTAGCCCATCAAAAGTTTAATGACGATATTGTTACATTAATTTTCTTGTGTAGTAAAAAGTAACTCCCCCCCCCTCTAATTTGTTCCTAAGTAAATATTACAGAGTAATCCTTTTGGTGGTGATGCAACCTTAGCAGGAAGTTTCATTTTATGATTTTAAAATCTTTGAGTATTCTCCTCTGTCCAAAATGGTAGCCAATATTACAATTACGAACCAATATTACCATTGATTTTCCATAACGTTTGACGGGCTACCCTTTTTGATAAAGATGAAATAGCAAACTCTGGTTTTCACCATTCATAAAGTTTTTGTAAACACATTAAAATGAGATGTCACTTGAAGGGGGTTTACGTTTAAAATTTTTGAGTTGCCCCCAAAATCCCCCCTTTTTGGGGAACATTTAAAAATTTCAAAATCATAAAATGAAACTCCCTGCTAAGATTGTACGACCGCCAAAAAGGACATCTCTGTATATTCACTTAGAAAATATTATAGAAGGGGGGTATTGACTTTTTACTCACTTAAATGCTGTAATTTGTTATTTATTTATTTATTTACTAGCTGTTTGCCCGTTCTACGTACGGGAATCTTGTAGTAAGTTGAAACCTTATATTCAGAACAGGAGTTGGTTAAATCTATGGCAGGAGCAGAGCAACATCGGTAACAGGAAATATAATCTTGACTAGGAAAGCAACAATTTAATAATGAAGTACAAAATACATTTTGAAAAAGCAATTAATAATTTCGTTCGTTCCAATATGAAAAATAGAATCATTTAGATATAGTTGCTATAATTGATTACCATTATATTTTAATATTGCATATAAACTATAATGTAACTACTCGCTGTTATACTCCGTTCAAACAGCCGTGGCACCTGACGGATTAGGAGGCCCCAAGGGTTTCCATGGGGTCTCCTAATCCGTCAGGTGCCACGGCTGTTTGAACGGAGTATAAATAATATTGTCGGTGATGTAATCTTCGTTGTAACTAGCGCGGTTGGCACATCCGTGTCCAGTGCAGTAGCCATGCATCGTGGTACAATTAAGACCATAAGGGTCGTTGTACTGTATCCATGAATCAATTTCAACGTGGACTTGGTTTGTCACTCAGTTGGTGGTGATGAGCCATAGGGTGTCAGAAAGACAAGCATCTACAACTATTTTTGGTTCGGAAAGGGCTGTACTGACATCTCCCAACACTACTAAAGATGTCCTAGGCTTAAGCGGACAATGGTAAGGTGTCACTGGCTGAAAGCCATGAGATAGAAGGACACTTTTTGCTTTTGGGATTGTAGATCGTGGTATAGGAGCACTTGCATTGACACATTTCGGCTGGTGTTGTGCACTCAATGCCACCCATGGCGTGAAGAGTACCATGTCCATCAAGTGTTTTAACGTTGTAATCCGCGTTGTCGAAAACATAATGAACGTAAGCTCCGTCATCTATTGAAGGTGAGACATTATCAGCTATCAAAGTCTCATAATTGACCTTCTTGTATGTCGAGCAAACTCCGAGCTACGATAGAATGTCTAACGGCAACTTACAGCCATAGTGGCGTAGCCAGGATTCTGCTTTGGGGGGGCCCGATCCGGGGGGTCTGGGGGGCAACAAGTTGCCTAAACTACTATTAATCTGCGTGACGTAATTTTAATAAAATAAATCAAGCTAATAAAACTGCACTCAACTTATAGAATAAAGCATACTAATGGTCGTCCAGTGATCGAAAACTCGACCAAAAATATGTAATGTACACGCAATGACTATTGGATACTGAAGTAGACACTATATGTACCAGCTGCCGTCATTTTTTTTATTATAAAACATTGTACAGAAGACCCTATATAATCGGCACTGTACCACTCCGGCACTCCAGTAATCCGGCGTCTTTTGGCGGGAGGTCTTCCGCGGTCGTGGCAAAATTCTGATTATCTCCCGCGGCCGTGTAGATATCATCATTCTCTCCCGCGGTCATGAAAACGTCATCGTCGTCTTGCGCGATCGCGGCAATATCATGAACATCTCCCGCGGACGTATAGACGTTATCATTGCCTCCCGCGGTTACGGAAAAGCCATCGTCGTCTTGTGTGATCGCGGAAAAATCATGAACATCTCCCGCGGTCATGTAGACCGTGTCATGTTATATCGTGGTCTTTCACGGTCGCGGCGAAGATTTTATCATTTCCGCGGCCATGTAAACATCATTGTCTACTCCCGCAGTCACAGAAACGTCATCGTATACTTGCGCGATCGCGGCAAAATCATAAACATCTCCCACGGTCACGGAAACGTCATCGTCGTCATGTGCGATCGCGTCAAAATCACGTACATCTCCCGCGGCCGTACACGTTATCATCGTTTCCCTCGATTACGGAAACGTCATCGTCGTCACGCCCGATCGCGGCAATAGCGGTTTCCGATCGAGCAATCTTCGGAGACGTGTTTTAATTGCATTTTAAGTGTTTTTATTGATAACATTCCAGTAATCCGGCATTTTATATAATAACAACACGTATTGTGTAGTGTGTACGCACTCATTTGAGTGTTTCTAGAACGCGCATTGCAACGCTCCCGTGTGCCGTGTGTACAGGGTAACTAAAAAAAAAAAATTCGGGGGGGGGCCTGGCCCCCTTGGTGGCGTATCCAGGGAGGGGGCTCCCTGGATACGCCACTGAGCCATACCGTCTGTGAAGGTCGAGCAGCAGGGGTGATATGAAAGATCGTGGTCAAAGCTGCAGCAATAATTGCATGAGCTGTATTAGTTGTCTCCTCTTTAAAGCTTTGTCATAGTTAAATGGATATTATATTTATATCTAACCAATTCCAAAGACTAAGCATTGTGGGGTGCAACAAAGAGAAAAGAACTTATCTTGTATATATTTTGTATATTTATATCAATTATTTTAGATGGGGACGCCACTATGTGCGTATTTTAACCAAATATGAGTGAAGGATGAGTGTAGGATGAGTGGCGCAATCTTGTAATCTTGTTAGTGACTAAGGCCGACATGTTCCTTAGACACAGATGTTAATTAATAGCCCATATAGCTAATGGCAACTAAGGGACCTACAGTTTAAAGTGGAATCCGAACCACATTTTTTCCTTGTAATTAACGAATTGGTCTAATTATCAGGATAGTACTGCGGATAGTCATAGTACTCACTAGTGCGGACGTTAATCCACACCAGGGAGCATCGCATCCACCTTGCATGCCTATAAATATCCACAATTCGTATAAAAGGGGGGACATAACCGTTTCTGTATCATTATTATAGATATTTTTTAGGTTAATATAAATAAAATTTATGCTTAGAACATAATAAACTCTTTAATTGTATATTACCCTCATACATGAGCCCAAAACGTTTAATTTGAGACATAAATAAGGTCTTTAGGACAATTACTTCAAAAGATACAGCAAAAAATCTAAATTTCCAAAATGGCGGCAGTTTTTTCAAAATGGCGGCCGTTCCCCAACTGGGATTTCTTGGGACTTTGTGTGGGCCACTCAGGACATTGTTTTGAACATTTCCACCAATTTTCAGCCTGTTATCAATTTTGTCCGGGTCATAACCTAATTGCACTGGACTAATAAACTGAACTGGAGGAACTACTGATTTGAAAGCCCCGTGATAGTTGGATACAATTTCTATGAATAAAAATAAATTGTCTATTAGTCATGATGGCTGACTAGTATTTGGATAGACATCTCATCTAATTAGGTACTGTACTTATTTTATATCACATAAAAACAATATCAATTCATGATGGTCCTAGAACGTATCTTTAATATTTGATTGCCAGTACATCCATCCAGTATTTGTATTATGTAATTTTTTTATGTTTTAAGGTAAAAATCTGAGCATACAATTGACTTTTAAATACCGGTATGGATATCCCATCATTATGAACCTTGTCAGCCAATTTCTTCATTAGATAGAAGCCAGTTTAACAAAGTCGCTCTTAGAGTGTGCTACAGGCAAAATTAGATTTTTTTGTTATTTTTAAAAACTTTTTAATAAAGAGGAATTAACTAATTACAACACAAGTCACCAAAAGCAAATTTAATAGATGTTATCATTCAATATGAACGTAACTTACAGCTAATCTATTTACAATGGTTGTATTATTACAACATGCAACCCATTGATTATTTTGTTGAAGAGATGGGTTCTGGTGAAATCTGTAAGGCGCTGAACGAATTGTGTATATTCGTACTTGGTACAACTTTGTAGGACTTACGCTTCGGCTGTTACCATTTTCACCTACTCACTGACTGTTAGTTTGCAGGGGGGTCCTCATATTATGGCAGCAAAAACACATTTCACTCCACTTATTGTTGAAGGAGATCGTGAAAACGGAAAAATTGAGAATACAATGGATAATAACAGTTTTAGACATAAAACCAAAGCTAGACATATTTGAAATTTTTTTATAAAA